ACAGACACACACAGTCGAGCTGTGAGCTGGGGTCTCGGCAGCGCCATCATGGCCTGACAACCCCGCAGAGCCAGGGGACCCTCGTTATTCCATGTCCCGTTCCGCGGGTCCGTCCCTCCTTCACGAGGGGACAATTTCTTTGGAGCACAGTGGGGTTACTGATCCCCTTTCTTCTGCAGAAAGGCACGGGGCGGAGATCACCCCAGAAACCGCACCAGGCTGCATGAAACCCTGTTTCCACACTCTATTCCCTTGCTTCTCGCGCTGTAAAGATCCCCGATAGTCGTCGCGAAAGTGAGCGGGGACACAGACCCCTGTTATATGGGGTTTTTGTGACTGGTCAGCATTCGTCTGGAAAAACGTGCATCTCACTCTCTTGCTCACAGGGACCCCTAAAATGGCAAGTGTGCTCGGGGTTGGGGCTCCCCAGAGCCCTAACCAGTGACAGCTCTGGCACAGAGAGCAGCAGCAGCTTCGTGAAGAAGGGTTCGAGCCTAGGTCGTGTTACTAACTCACCGTGACCGAACGACCCAACTGAACACCCCCCAAACTGTGAAATGATACTCCCCAGCGATTTTAACTTTTTGTATCACAACAGGGGCTGCCCCTAGAGCAGCCATACCCAAAGCCTTCAAACTTCCACAAATACTATATGAATACTGTATATACAGTATGCGACACCATAAAAATTGAATTTAATTTTTTACTGCAAATATTGAAAGCTCAATATTTCATGTAATGGTACTGTACCTCCTTTTGCAGATTTGCAAAAATATAAGTTAACACTTAATTTCATGTCACATTTAATGTCAGAATGAATACAACATGGATTTAAGGACTGTAAGATGGCACTTGGAATAACATTAACTGGGTCTATAAACAGCATGGCCAATCTGTAATTGTGTATAGAGAGGAAAGCAGTTTGGAAGTAGACTGCAATTGAGAGCGATGTACCAATCTACCAATGACTTTGTGGTGAGGGATTCACAATGAAAACTGTTCATTCTAACAGCCGGCCTTCAGTCCTTTACAGCTTGGCAAAAAAAACCAAACCCTGTTCCGACCAACCAGTCTAAGCAAGGTCATTTCGAACCCCAGACGGTGGCAGAGCGTGGGAGTCTCACCTGCAGACGAAGCTGGGCCATGTCTCTCATGAGCCGGTTCCGGCGCGCTTCCTCCTCGGCCTGGGAAAACAGCACAGTGGGGTCACTCCAGCAGCGACCCCTAGTGGGGGGGTGGGGGAGTTACACAGCAGTGGATCCCTGTCCTGGTAATGGGCCAGCCCTGAGCCTACTGATCTGCCACATCACAGTTCAAAACAGAGTTCAGACTGAGGGAACTTCACCTCAATTCCAAGGTCTGAAAAGCCAATGATCTAAAGCTGGTAGATCATTCATTTATTTTCTGCTACCCACAAAATACTGCAATAATAAGCCTTTTAAAGCAGCTCTGTTCAAGCTGACATTTTTCCTTTCGTTGTCTGACCAAAGGTTGGAGAGCTTCTAAATCTAGAGCAATAAATGTCAATTGGGTATTTAGTATGCACGGGTACGTGGATTAAATCAAAACAGTAAAGCTGCTTTGAATGGTTTTAGCTTTTGAAGAAGATGGAGAGAGGGGCTGACTATCAAATACTTGCGCTTTCTGAGAAACATCTGCAAGCTTTAGTGCTTTAAAGCTGTGTTACTGCTTCTTAGAGGTGCTGAACATTTCACAATGTTAAGCAAACTAACACAGCCCCTGTGCTGTGAAAATACTGATTTCTTGGATAAAACATACTGAAATATGATAGATGGATACTCAATTTCCTGTGCTTCTTTTACTCAGATAAAACTTGGGCCAACAAGGGGATTTTTACAGACCTGCACATATAAGGGTGGACAGCAAGATTATCTCACTTTGCACACTGTAGTGACTACACAGACAAAGGCACAGGCTGGTTGATCATTTTGATCTGACGCCTCCTGTGCTGTGGTTTTTGTGCTGCTAACCATGTGTATGTTTGTTGTAGAGAGAAGTCACATGTAACATTTGCAGTTTCAGGAAGATGCCTTGGGCGAAGACGTCAGCTGGAACAAACTAACGATGAATAACGAATTCAGCAGGGTGGGATACTGGCTGCTGCTGTTGTACTGAGAGATCACTGCGGGCCTGTGGGATAATTCTTGTTCTCTTACCATGCGGAACTGCGCCTTGGCCAGCTGCACCAGGTTCTCCTGCTCTGATTGGCTGATGCTAGTGAAGATGCCCGCCTCCGGATTGAAGTGCAGCACGTTGCCTTGGAGATTGGTGAGATAGTGACCGAAGCTCCGGATACAGCAGACTCGCACCACACACTGGGAGAGGAGAGGGACACAGAGGAAGAGGAGGAGCGGAAGAGGGAGAGGGGTGGAAGAGGGGGAAAAAAAGAGGGAGAAAAAACAGGTAAAAGTGGAGAAGGAAGCAAAATACAATTTGGGAGAAAGAAAACAGAGGTGAAGGGGCAGAAAGAAGGATTAAAAAGGAGGAGGGAGAAGGTTCAACAGGAAAAGGGAGAGAAAAGGAAGAAGAGAATTATGTTACTCCAAACTCCTGCACCCAGATCAAGCACCATGTCTGCTCATGCAACTCCAGCAGAAGGGATTTTTACCCTGCTTGTGCAAGCTGATGCGTCTCCTAAAGACCATATGACTGGTGAAATGGAAATCTAATAAGTAAATTGATTCTTAAAATGTAAAGAGCTTTAGGAAAATATATAACAAGGATGTAACTGCTGTGCTACTTGCAGATTTTAGAAGACAGTTTGTAAGCACAGTACGTACTGTCTGGATGACTAAATTAGCCGAGGGTAACTGCTAAGCTTTGCAAAATATACATTGGCGCTTCTTCTTTCGTTTCTATGATGTAATCTGTTTTGTCCTTTGGAAAGGAGAAGTATTAGAATGGACAAAGTGCTGTACTTTCCCTTGCATTACAACATCTTTATAAAAAGCCTGTACTGCCTGTAACAAGTTGAGTCTCTGATGCACTCAGCAGAGTGACAGCAGGGCTCCCAATATTGCAATATTGAAATAAAGACCTTAGTCAGGTGAGAACTCTCTTGTGGCTTCCTTGACAAATAGATTTCCAAAACACTGGGCACAGGTTAAATGTCCAGAGAGGGATCTCTGTATCTCTGATGTGCAGACAGCTTTCCGGCACGCCTGCTTATCTTTAATGAGAGGCACAGCAAAGCTGACTGAGGGCACGATGTTAAAATGTTTTCTTCGTTCCTCTCTCCCCGGGGGGGGGCCCCAGTTACCTCCTGCAGGGGCCCGAGGGAGGGCCGCTCGCGGGCGAAGTCCAGCCGGCGGTGGGCCAGGTGCAGGGCGGGCAGGTGGCGCAGGGCCAGGTCCTCGGGCAGCAGCAGCGTCTGCGCCAGGCTGGGCTGCTCGCACTCGCTCAGCAGCCGGGTCACCTCCTCGCTCAGGCCCAGCCCTGGAGTCGGCAGCACACGTTCACAAGGGGGGAAGCTTTTCAAAGCATCGCCATACTGCCATGTGAGGTTCTTCTTTACCAATGTTTGCAGTCTACATTCAATAAGAGCTAGGGGGAAGGTCTTGAATACTTGTATCTCCTGATGCCGGCGTTTAATATCCTCAAAGGCATCGACAAAGTCAACCCAGAGGATTTAATCAGAACGAACAGTGAAACATGAACCAGAGGGTACAAGTGGGGACTACGCATTTAAAACTAAGAACAGGACATACTTCTTTTACACAGAGAGCTGTGGGAGTGGGGAACAAGCTAGCCAGCCATGTCACTGAAGCCAATAGAAACAGCTGGATGAGATGCTGGGATCAATTAACTATTAACTAGCACACAGGCTAAATGGGCTGAATGGCCTCCCCTTGTTTGTAACCTCTTATTTTCTGTAGGCGAGGCTGCCCAAGCACTCGGGGGGCACAGTCCAGCAGGCTGTCCAGGTCTCAGACATTCCCCGGCTGCACACCTGTGTAGGAGGGCTAGAACGGTCCAATTACACCTCACCTCCAACACCCAGCAGCTGCGCACCTGTGCTCAGGTCTGTTGGTTTTTTTTTTTAAGGTAGCCGCCCGCACTGATGGGCTGTTTTTCTCAATTCAGTCTGCAAGCGTGGGTTGGGGGGGTTGGGGGTGGGGGGGGAGACCCCACGTCTACGGACTCACAGTCCCGGCTGCAGCTCCGTGCCCTTACCTGCCTCCAGCATCTTACTCCCATCGGGCAGCAGGTTGAGCAGGACCGACAGTCGGTTCCACAGGCTCTGAGAACTCTGCACAGGAAGAGAGGCGGGGGGGGGGTTCAGTCTGTTAACACTAGTGACGAGAAAATCCTATTGCTCGTGTCCTGGCATAAATGTTGGCAGACTGAAGATATTGTGAATCCTTTAGGTATTGGCGTTAACACCTGCAGCCCTCCTTAAAACTCTTAAGTAGTTAAAGCCACCTGCGCAGACGGATATTTCTGCTCTCCAACACAAACACTACAACATTAAAAAAATATGCTGGTGCCCAACACAGAGTAAGAGAAAGCATTACCTATAAATAAAAATCAAATTTCTTTTATTAGAGCACTAATGGAACTCCCATTTTCTTTAAACCTGTGGGATAGAAATGGTACTTGTCTTAATTTGTAATGTTAACACGTTCTGTGTTATTTGTAAGCCTATTTTAAAACAAACATAGCTATCGCTTTGATTTTACCACCTTATTAACTACTAAGTCTTTGATGTTCGACAGACTCCTTTAATCAGCAAAAACAAAACACCCACTGAGATCTTGTTTTGGCAGTTGATGCTCGACAGTTAAAGTAATTAATTATAAAGCACAAACTTCTAGGTCAGCTGTCATGCTGCCCAAAACCTTATTGCTGCAATATTTGTGTTTGATTTAAAATATGCAGTCCTATGTAAAGCAATTTATATATACTGTAAAATAGTTTTCATAGTCTCCCAATAATAAAAGTAATTTAGAAAAAGTAATAATGCTCCCCTCTAAATCTTACTTTACCTAAGCTTACTCAGGAAGTGTTGTTTCCAGATTCAAAGTTCAGGTGTACGTTTTGCAAAGGCACTGCCTGTATGTTTTAAAATCCAGAGTCAAGATTGAAAATGCACACACTGACAGAGCACTTTCAGAACTTTCCTTGCTTTCATACAACGCCGAAGCATGCAAACTCAGCACAGATTGAAACATTCCACAGACTGCAGGCAAAGATCCACAAGACATTATTTACACCGTAAGGCCTTCCATCCTTTACCTGCCCACACATGACGATGATGTCCGTGTTTGTCCTCAGCCAGTCCACGAAGATCTTGACCGCGGGGAGCAGGCCCTGATTGGTCAGGATCTCCAGCTTCTCAGGAAGAGTCTTCTCGTTCCGGCTCGAATGGTTACTGACCTCGCTGCCTTCGGAGTCCGAACCTCCCTCTTTGGGGGAGACAAAAAGGGCAAATGAGACTCCCTGTTGATTCCAAGCTCCACGTACCCATTGTGATGGCAAAGCAGCAAAGCAAACATACCAGCCATGAAGCCAAACTTGGAAGCTTCATCTCACAACCTTCTGTGAAATCCAGCATAGACTACACATACATTTATACCCCCTTGTGTTTCCTGTATACAGGTATTTTGTCTGTCTTCTTTGTATTGTGTCATGCAGTCTCTTGTCCTTTGTCCTATTTGTTACTGGCTGTCATACTGAGTTTACAGACCCTAACTCCTGCTGTTCTTGCCCTGTCCATTAGAGGGAGCCAGAGAGAGGGCTTATACAGTAATGTCACTTTTGAAACAACCAAACGGCAACTAGGCCTCTTAATGTTCTCAGAACAATTAGATATGTTTCAGGAGACTGCTGCTCTGGGATCAGCCTGAAGAACTGAGACAAGATGAACTAATCTTAAAGGAATGTCTTACTTAAAATGGGAAAGTCGAGACTTAGTTTATTACATGTAACATTTCAACTGTTTTTTTTTTTTTTTTAAACGACACTACGCAATTAAGAGGTTTTGGAAAACCAAGACAGGCCAGCCACTAAAGACGCCTGCCCAGGCAAAGGCTGGGCTCCACGATCGCGG